AAGTGCTTAGCTCCATGCCTGGCACATAGTAGATACTTAATAAATACTGATTCTCTTCCCTTCCCCCTTGAAAGATTTTTGCTCTTGACTTAAAAAATATTTGCAATAGTTATATGCATTATTAATTTGAGATCTTTCAGTGTGTTTTCTTGTCTTCTGTTCTCTGCATTTTTTAAAAAATAAGACTGTTTTCAATTGTCAAGCATTTACTTTTTCTCCTTCCCCTCCCTGGAGAAAAAAAAGAAAAAGAAAACTCTTGTAATAAATAAGAATAGTCAATCAGAACAAATTCCCATATTGGCCATATCCAAAAAATGTGTGTTTCAGTCTGCATATGTTGCCTTTCATCACTCTGTCAGGAAACACATAATCACTGGTCTTCTGGAATCCGGGTTGATCATTATGTTACTCAGCATTCTTAAGTCTTATAAAATCGTTCAATTTTACAATGTTGATGTCATAGTACAGAATATCAATTCTTAAAGTATGGCCCAGGGACCTCTAGGGACCCCTTTCAGGGAGTCCATGAGACAAAATCATTTTCAGGATATTCTTTATGGTCAATCTTTTTTCAGTCATATCCAATTCTTTGTGACCCCATTTAGGATTTTCTTGGCAAAGATACTGGAGCGGTTTGTCATTTCCTTCTCTAGCTCATTCTATAGATGAGGAAACTGAGGCAAGCAGGGTTAAGTGACTTGGCCAGGGTCACATAGCTAATAAGTGTCTGTGGCTGAATTTGAACTCAAGAAGAGGAGTCTTCCTGCCGCCTGGCACTCTATCTGCTGTGCCACCTATTCGTAATAATACTGATAGCAAATATTGATAGATAAAACTCACATAAACAAAAGCTCTTTGGGGTCCTTAATATTGCTGAAGAGTATAAAGTTGTCTTAAGACCAAAAAGTTTGAGATCCACTGGTATAGGTTGTTCTCCTGGTTCTGCTTACTTCACTCTGCATCAGTTCATACAAGCCTTCCCAGGTTTCTCAGAAAGCATTTCTTCCATCACTTATTATGGCCCAACTTAGCCTCTACATTTTTTAGTTTGTCACTTTCATAATTCTAAGATCTCCTTTCTCTTAGGGCTAACTACCAGACTTATTGTTAGAGGGTTGTTTATAACACAGAGCCCGATACATAGTCAGTGCTTAACAAATACTTTTGTAATGTGAGAAATGAATATTTCTCTCTTATATTAATAACTAATTATTATATTAGGACCAAGATTTTCCCCTTTTTCCACCTCCTCACCCAGAAACCAACCAGTATGAGAAATCTCTCTCAGAGATTTACTGAGGCCAAGATCTAATCAGATGGTAAAAGAAATTATAAGTTTGGGCTAATGGGTGTACTCCTGCTCGTTGTATTTGCTCGAACAGGTCTGGGAAAATATTGATTCTCCTTATTATCAAGAAAGGTGATATGGACATTGATGTCTTTTTGACTAAGATTTGAGAGACCTAAATCATGTACCCCAAGAAAGCCCACCTCTCATTGTGTTAACTAATCAAAGCTGATTACGAACCCCTTGGGAACAACTACTCTTTGAAGGGCATATAAGCTGTGACCCCAGCACCATTAAGGCTCTTTAGTCTAAGAGAGATGGCCAAATGACTATCCTTTAATTGATGGCCTTATTAATAAAACGATTAAATTACCCAGAAACTATGTCTCTTGAACCTTTTTAATCACCACAGTTTGATTGATTGATAAAATATTGATTTTTATGAAACTGTATGTTATTAAGCTCCTGGAGTGAGCTCTTTCTTCCTCTCTGCCTTTCAGAATATTTCTCTTTCTCCTTGAAGGTTTTTTTCATCCTCTCAGTTGACAATCTTTTCTCCCTTTTCAAGTTTTCCTAGAGTATTCCATTTCAGTCATGCCTTTGCTCCCATCTCTTCTCAGTCTATATTATTCTGATCTCTGTTCTTGTTATTAACTTCTCCTCCTCATCCTCCAATAAAATGGAACCCCCATGAGAGGAGGGGCTTCTTCATTTTTCTCTTGGTTTCCCCAGCGCCTAGAACAGTGCCTGGCACATAGGATATATTTAATTAAGGGTAGTTTATGCTAAATTATTCCTTTAAACAGGATTCTTAACATATGAAAGATCTCTTAATTAAGTAGAAAGTTTTTTTCTTTCTAAAACCTTAGAAGAGACATAAAGCACTTATGTCACATCCTTCCCCCTCCCGCACCTCCCTACCCCTGCTGTATGGTCACATAGATTGCCTTCATGTACTGAAAGAACCTGGCTCCAAAGAAGGAAGTCAAGCTTTTATTGCACTCTCTGGTCCATTATGCCTTCAGCCCGTAGCCTTGAAAAAAAATTGTTTAGATCTCAGGCTTGGTTCATGTCTAAGGTCTCCCTAACAGAAATTGACAGGATTCCTTCCAGAAAATTACTCATTGTAAAGGTAGATCAGGTATAAGACAGCTATTTAATTTCTCTATCACAAAAGAAATGATTAAAATATAGAAGATTCATAAGCACACCTTGACAAATACTGAAAATGTGATACAAATATCTATAGGCATTATAGATCAGGCATTTCATTTTTTTAAAACCTCAAATATGCTGTCTGAGCAACTCACTCAAGGTCCAGATCTTTTGATCAGTCTGGCATGCATGGCTCATTCTCCTCTGGGTCATCTTTTCCTCTGAGAAGTATCATGGTAGCTGTAGGGAACACCTCTCATAAGACCGCTTGTATTGATAAACTCAGGAATTCCTGAATACCCAAGGTAGCCATGAGGCTCAAAACAAAGGGGGACATAGCAGAACAATTTATAATATATGAATGTGATGGAATACTATCATGACAAAAGAAATGAGGAAAGAGAAAGTTTCAGTGAAACCTGAAGACAACTTGTAAGAACTGATGCCGAATGAAGTGAACAGAACCAAGAAAGTAATATGTATGATAAAGGCAATAGTGTAAAAATAAATAACTTTGAAAGTGGATAACTTTGGTCAACACAGTGACCACCCATGATTCTAGAAGATCAATAATGAAGTATGTTTCCCATATTCTAACAGAAGAGGTGATACACTCAGAGTCACGCATGAGATGTCTATTTTTCAGACATGGTCAAGGCAGGAATTTGTTTTGCTTGACTATGCATAAATACTAAAAAGGTTTTCTTTTTGTTTTCCATTGGGGGATTTTTAATTGAAAAAAATTAAATAAAGAGAGAAATCAATCTCTCATAAGATTATCCTCAATTTATCCTTTAAGTGTATGTGTGTGTATATACATACATACATACGTACATATGTATCACATACATATATATGTATTACATACATGCATTTTATATATATATATGTATATATATATATATGTATATATATATTTGTTTATGCATAATTGTCAGCATGTTTTTTCCCCAATTGGATTGTGAGCTCCTTGAGAACAGGAACATTTTTTTGCCTTTCTTTGTATTCCTATCAGTTAGCACAATGACTGGCACATAGTAGGTGCTTAATATAAGTTAACTAACTCCCATCATTCTCAGTTTGACTCCCTGTATGCAGGGGAAATGACACATAGCAGCAAGAGTTTCTGAGGTCTTAAAACACTGCCTTGGGCTCTTGTTGATTTATGTAAGGAACCACGACAACTCTCCACTCATGTGCAGTCCAAGGGAGAGTCTTGAAGAGTCTATTGCAACATGCCGAGAAGGGCAGAGATGGGAAGAGGATGAAGTCACTATTTCTAAAGTTTACTAAGTGGACTGTTTTTCCTGACTCAGTGGCCAATCATCTTTGACTCACTGTATTTTTGCTGGGGAAGGGACACACGTAGGGGCCAAGCAAAAGCTTCTGGTTATGCATGCTCTTTCTCAAGGAGCCATGGTGGAGGCCTACCCTCGGGCATGCTTCTTGAGATGGCTGGTATAATAATAATGATAGCTAACATTTATATAGCCCTTCAAAGTTTATAAAGCATTTTATACACATTGTATTGTTTGATCTTCATAACAACCCTGTGCGATAAGTGCTTTTATTTTATAAATAAGGAAACTGAAGCTAAGAGATGTTATGTGAGCTCTCCTGCAATCACACTGTTAGGAAGAGTACTCTGTCACAAGGCAGGACTCCCATACACCAATGCCAGGAAAGAAAGAAAGAAAAAAAAGCACTTATATCTACCATGTACCAGGCCCTGCGCTAAGCACTTTATAAATATCTCATAGCAACCCTGGGTGGTAGCTGCTATCATTTTCTTCATTTTACGGTTGAGGAATCTGAGGCTAAGACAGGTTAAGTGACTTGTCCATGGTTACACAGCTAGTAAGTGTCTGAAAATGGACTTGAATTCAGGTTTCCTGATTCCAGGCTCAATGATCATTTCATGGCACCACCAATCTCCCTTAGATTCCCTGGTTGTCTCAGGCAAAGGCTTCTAGTAAGAAAGTGGGAAGTAGCTGAGACATGAAGGAAAGCAGGGGAGCCAGGAGGCAGAAATGAGGAGGGAGAGAATTCCAGGAATGAAAATACTTGGTTGGGAGATGGAAGTGTTGTGGGTAAAGAATTGCAAAGATGCCAGAGTTGTTGGATCCTAGAATACATGGGGTGGAGGAAGGTGTAAGAAGACTGGGAGTGGAGGAAGGAGCCAGGCCATAAAAGCCAAACAGAGAATTGAAATTTGATCCTGGGCTGCTAGAATTTATTGAATGGAGGCAGGGTGGGGAGTAACATGGTCAGACTTGTGTTTTAGGAAGATCAATGTGACAGCTGAGTGGAGGATGGAGTGGAGTGGGGAGAGATGGGAAGCAGGCAGATCCACCAGGAGGCTATTGCAATGGTCCAGGCAGGATGTGATGAGAGCATGCACCAGGATAGTGTCAGGATCAGAGGAGAGAAGGGGGTGTATTTGAGAGATATCACAGAGATAGAAATGACAGAACTTGACAATTATTATAAATAGAGAGTGAGGAGTCAGGGATGTCACCAGGATTGCAAGCCTGGGTGACTGGGAGGATGGTCGTACCTTGACAGTAATGTTGTTTGTCCTTCATTTTTGAGAAGGATCAATGACACTAAGGGTCATGTTTTGACCTGAGCCTGAATTGGACTTATGTGAGGCAGAGCTGCATAGTCATCAGCCTCAGTCTCTCTTCCTGAGTCATCAAAGTCCAGTGGCAAGGCGAAAGTCAGGATGAGTGAAGATGGTCTGAGATGCAGTGGATGACCTTGGTGTCTTTGGTGTCTGACTAAGTTCTAAGATCTCCATAGCACCAGCTTCAGCCACCTTTATGACTGTTAGAACAAATTGTTCTCAGTCTTCACATGCTTAAGGCAGACCTCCCTTCCCAATTCACTGATGGGTTTGGGGGCTGTTGGTTATCTTCAACCTGGGTTAGCCCATCTGCCCAGACGGTTTCACCGAAGTGTGTCCACTGTGCGTGTTACAGCTTCCTGGAGCCACAGGTGAGAGTTGAGCGCCCGGTAGACACCATGGTGGACAAGAAGCCCTTAAAAGGGCTCAGCAAGCCCTCACAGCAGAGGTGCTAGTCTTGACAGTAATAGGGAAGTTAGAAAGAAGGGAGGGTTTTCAGGGAAAGATAACAAGTTTAGTTTTGGACACGTTGAGTTTAAGATGTCTACAATATGTCCAGTTTGAGATGTCCAATAGGTAGCTGGAAATGGGAGACTGGAATTTGGGGGAAAGGTTAGGGCTGGACAAGGAGATTTGGTTCCCCTCCACTTCTCTTTGAGATTAATTTCCATTTATACTTTATATATCTTGGACTTACCTAATTATTTACATGTTGTCTTCCATATTAGAATGTGAACTCCTTGAAGGAAGACTGGAGTTCCAATCTTGCCTTAGCTTGGTGACCCTGGGCAAGTCACTTAAACTCTTTCAGTCTCGGTTTCCTCAACTGTAAACTGAGGATAATAGTAGAGCCTACCTCACAGGGCTGACATGAAGTTCAAATACCAAATGTAAATTATATTGTAAACCTTGAAGCATTATAGAAATGCTAACTATTATTATTGTATACTCAATAACTAGCATGATCCCCAGCACAGAGGAAACACTTAAATGCTATTTGGCTGACTGAATTAATAAATGTGACTGACAGTCATTCTAGGTTTATCTTTCCTGTGTAGTTCCCATAGGTTTTTGGGAAAGGGAAGTGGGCTTATTAGAGCATCAATGAGGCTTGAGGGCAGGAGAGAACTAGTCAAATCCTTCCCACTAACCCTCAAAGAAAAGTGGAGGGGATTAGGTTGGAAGTTCAGGGAAGACCAACATTTCCTGGCTTGGCTTGTCTGGAGTCCGATGGAAAGGGAGGCTCTCTCTGGCCTCCAAATAACCCATGAACCCATTTTCTCATAAACTTCCCTGGTTCTTGCTGTTGTTTAGTTGTTTCAGTCACGTCCAACTCTCTGTGACCCCATTTGGGGTTTTCTTGGCAAAGACACTGCAGTGGTTTGCCATTTCCTTCTCCAGCTCATTTTGTAGGTGAGGAAACTGAGGCAAACAGGGTGAAGTGACTTGTCCAGAGTCACACAGTTAGTATCTGAGGCCAAATTTGAACTCAAGTCTTCCTGACTCCAGGCCCCATACTCCATCCATTTCACCACCTAGCTGCCTTATGAATTAAGTGGATTCTCAAAAATTGGCTAACTTATAACCTTATAGGTAGATGTCATAGAGAGACCCTGACTGAAGGACAAGACTGAAACAGTTTTTTTGTATACACACACATACACACACACATTTATATATATACCCACACATAAATTTATCTATCTATATCTGTCTTTTTTTTTTTGGGTCAAGATTCCTCTTCCTTCAATAGTTCAACATTGTTGGAAAGAACAATTCTGACCTTCAGGAGGACTATGCCTAATGGGATGATAACCTGTCTAAATTCCCACTTTCCTTATCTGAGCCAGAAAAAGAGCAACCTGTACCTCTAAATTTCTCTCGAGCTTTCGTGGAAAAGGGGATTGTCCTTGAATGGATGTGGTTTGATTATCTAAGGGATAGATCTTGGATCTGTGCTTTCATTGGTTTGGAGAATTCATCATGGAGGATGCTCTCTCTACCAATACAGACTGGCACCATCTCTGTAATGCATAGTCTTAGAGCATTGCCTACATCATTGAGAATCTACCCAGGGTCACACAGTTAGTATGATACAGAGATGGGACTGAATTCAGGTCTTCCTGGCTCTGAGGTTGACATTCTATGCCCCACACCATCCATTCTGCCTCTCATAGTATTCTAAACAAGGGAGGCATTGTGTTGTAGTGGATAGAGGCCTGGACTTGGACTCAGGAACATCTGGGTTTGAATTCTGCCTCAGACAATAACTGTGTGACCTTGAGTAAGTCATTTGATCTCATAGAGCCTCAGTTTTTCTATCTATAAAATGAAAGATTGAGACTTAATAATCTCTGAGGTTTCTTCCAGCTCTGGATCCTATGAGCTTGAAAGGAAATCCCATGAACTTAATCCAATCTGTCAATGACTAGTCAAAGATGTCATCTCTGCCTCCATCTCAACAGGGATTTGGAATAAACTATAAAATGTCATTTTAATTGCAAGTTTCCATGGGAGCAAATCAAACATCAGTGTGAATAAACGCATAATCGTTAAGACCCTGAATGTGCAGAGCCTTTAATGACCATGCCTAGGACTAATGCATGCACTTTAAATGAGAGTTGTGTAGGACTTTCCTTGTTAAGGCTGAACCCACATGAATGTTGCCTCATTTTCATTTGAATCCTTTCTGGGACTATAAATCCTGTGGTAAAACTGGAAGCCAACATTTTCAATCTGCCAAGAAAGGTGAGAACAGTGAGGTTCTGTGGAAACAAGAGGAAGGGATCCAACCTTACTTTTATTTGCCCCAAGATATCCTCCATCCTGCCGATCTCTGCCTCACCCCCAATTTTGCTCTATCTGTATGTCTTATAATGAAATAGAACAAAAGGTCCAAGTGGTTGTACTTGATAATTAGGTAATCTGAAGAAGGAATTATCTGATAGATGATTTTAGTTCAAGGACTTTAAAACTGGGTTTGCATAAGATTTTCTTTGGTGAAGGAAGGAGGGAATAGTGGAAAGATTAGAAGAGCAGGAAGAATTTTGGAAGGAGCCTGGCTTGGCATAGGGAGTGAAAGTAAGAGGAGGAAGGACACAGAGGAAGATTGGAAGCTTCATGAGGTTAGGGACCAGTGTTGCTATAACTAGTACTTTTTGAACTTGGGGCAAATTATATGATACATCTCTCTCTCTCTCTCTCTCTCTCTCTCTCTCTCTCTCTCTCTCTCTCTCTTTAGAGGGGCAGGGAAACGGTGAAGACCTTAGACACCAAATGGTCTTCTAGGGTGGTCATGAACCAGGATGCAGGATGAGGTTGGACTAGGGCATGGCTGCCAGCAGAGGAAGCCACCATACATGAGCATCCTATTTTTGACAAGTTATTATGATTAATTAAGTGTTAAGCTCATTCCCCCCCACTTTCCATACTGCTGAAGAACCAAAAGCATTGTCAATATTACCCAGTCTTCCCCTAAATTTCACTGTCTTGGGGGAAAGTCCAGGTTTCTCAGTCTTAGTTAGGACTGTTCTTTGTACCCTCCACAACACTTGACACTGTCTTGCATGTGTAAGTGCAGTTCTCTATATTTGTTGGATGAATTTATACCTTTCCCAATGATTTTGATTCTGCTCTATTGCTTTTTACTTTTTCCTGGTTAGTTTCAAGTTTAATTACTTTTCTGAACTATGTCAGAAACTGTTTCTCTTTTCTCTTCTTGCCTTACTTTTTCTAACAAGAGAAAACTACCTATAATAGGGCTGTGAGGATCAAATAAGATTACATGTCTCTATACATGTGTATACACATATACACACACGTGTAAATTACTTTGCAAATCTTAAAGCACTACATATGTGTTAGTTATCATTTTTAGTTATATTGGAGCAGCTAGGTAGTACAGTGGATAGAGCACTTGACATAGGTCCAAGAAAATTGGAGTCCAAATCCTACCTCAGAAACTTTCTGGTTGTGTTCCCCTTGGACAAATCACTTAACCTCTCTCTGCCTCAGTTCCCTCATCTGTAAAATGAGGATAACAATAGCATCTACCTCCTAGGGTTGTTGTGAGAGTTATATGAAACAATATTTGTAAAGCACATTGCAAACCTTAAAACGCTATGTAATTACTAGTCATAATCATTATCATTATCATCATCATCATCACCATCACCACCACCACCACCACCATCATCATCATCACCAGCATCATCATCATCATCATCACATCATAGCCATAGATAAATATTTTTGGAAGTCAGAAATTAGCCGACCTCTTCCTCTGTCCCATCCTTCCTGCTTCTTTTATAATAATAACCAAAATTTTAATGTTTATGGAGCTCTTTACACATATTATACCATTTGATCCTGTGATGTAGATATTTTTATAATCCTCACTTTGTTGATAAAGAAACGGAGTCTCAGAGACATTAAGATGTTTACCTAGGGTCATAGCTAAGAAATGTCTGGGATATGGTATGAACCTGGGTCTTCCTGTTTCCAAGTCAAATGATCATTCAGAAAGCAGTAAACATTTATGAGTCCAACAACCTCAGAATAAGAAAATGTGAACCAGATCGACCAATGTTTCAGCTTGACAGCCTTTCGATTAAAGAAACTGGTTCATCTCCTGTACTCAACTGAAATATCCCATGGGAATGGGGAAGTCCTATTCTATTGTTAATAACCAAACTATACTCTTGAAAAATCTGGTCATTCGCTCCCTGAAAGAGTGCATTATACTTTCTGATATGGGCTAAAGTTGTCTTCCTCAGAAATTAATTAGATATTGATTGCCATCAAAAGATGTGTTTTGTTTCATTTGCATATCATCTTTAGAGTTGGCTAAGGTCATCAGCTATAAAAGAAAAGAACATTTATTTTGTTTATGATTGGATTCTCCTTGCTGGACATAGAGAATTTGGCTATCTTTGGCCACATCACTCTCTGGCTCAAAAGTCTCCATCACCTTCCAATTGCCTATAAGACAATTAAATGCGCTCCCTCTCAACTTCTTCCCCTTCTCCCCCCAACTTTGCATTTAAAGACTTCACAGTCTGGCTCAAACCTATTTTTTAGATTCATTCTACGTTACTCCCCTTTAT